TTGATTTCTTTGTATGTATGGATCGCTTGGGTTGTTACCAACATCTGGTGAAAATTTCATGTTTTTAGCACCTCTAGTAATATATTTACTGAGAAAAATGGTGACGTATTCAATACTTATTTTACCCGCTGTATTCCAATGAAATTTTCCTCCTAACAATTTTTTTATTGTCTATAAAAGTAAGTAATTGGTAAACAAAGCTAAATGCAATTTTCAGAAACTAAGATAATGGTACCTTTGTCACATGGTGAAATATTAGTTTTTTTTTTATTTAGCAGTCAACATACATTAGGATATTACTAGTTGGAACCCAGCGAAGACAGGAAAAAAAACTGACAAACAAAAACCAGCAACAGCTGTCAATGCTGACTGTTATTATTTCTGACATTTAATTAAAAATGTCACAAAAACGCAATAAAACAAACAGCAGCTCCAACTAAATATCCATTTACTGAACTGACATCTAAAATTCAAAGATTTGATATCAAAAGTTGAAAAAAAATCTAAAAATTGACTGTGTTTAGTTGAGCTCATGTGAACAAAACTGCACAGATTAGACTGTACAAAGTCTAATAAACAACATTTTTAAGTGTAAATGTGAAGTTTACATGTACAGAATATGTACAATAAATGAACCTAAAATGCCTAAATTTCTAATTCAAAAAGATTTAACTTGTTTCTCTTGTTGCAACGATTAATATTAAAGTATTTTATTTCTATCCAAATGTGATCAAACTTCTTTTTGTATTTTTGTAAATTTTGAAAATTGCATTTATTGATTTTTTTTGTTATTATTATTCCTATTTGCTTTGAGGTTAAATATTTATAATATGGTGGAATAGGTTTAATCAAGGAATTTACTTTAACCTTCAAAACAATTTTTAATGTAGAATTCAGCTTTTCCTGGAATAAACTGTACAAGGTGATAAGAAATTACAAAGGAGGAAAAAATAACTGCGACAACCAAACAGTCACTGCCTATAATCTAAAAGAATCCCTTTGACCCAAACACAATCTTAGTCTCACAGATTTTAACATCAGAGGTTTTGGCGTCTCCAGCAGGTCCAACACTAAAATAAGGAAACAGTTTCTCAGTGAAAGTGTCTCTGTGAGTGTAGATGAGACTCATGTCTTCAGAGTTGTAGAAGGACACCTCCCCCCTGTCATAGTCCAGCTGGACTCTGATCCTCTGGAGACTCTTCGTCACACTGAGAGTTTTAGCAACAACATCATTGTATTCTCCATCACCATGACATAAACACCAGACTCCATCTTCTGGTAAAGCAGAACATGCTCCCTTCCTGTCGACTGACTCTTTAACCAAACCAATTCGCCAGTCAGGATGATCTCCCACCTCCACCTCCCAGCTGTGTTTCCCTGAGCTGAAGCCCTCAGAACCAAAAACATCTGTAGAATAAGTGTTTCTCTCTGGATTGTCAGGAAGCTGCTGCTTGGTTTCTCCACGTCTCACACTGGTCAGATCATCAGACAGATGGAGCCAGCTG